CTGGCACTGCTATTTGCCCAGCTGCATATGCAGCAAGATCATCAAGATCGATCCCTGCTACAAACTCGTCAGCCACATTCCATCCAGCAGCGTGAATGCGTCAACGCGGTGACCTCGAAACTCAAGTATGGCGATTTCGAGTGTGACGGCGCTGCCATCGGCGCGGCCGTACGTCCGCAGCGGCAGTGGAGTCGCTGGCGTCGCTCACGTGCGACACGAGGGAGACTGAGAGGGTGAGGACAAGAGCTTGGACACCAGCGCCAGCGAGGGCTGCCATCGACCGTCATGACGAGATGAAGGACAAACTTACTTAAGCTAGCGTCCGAGGAGGTCTACATTGGAGACAGGATTGAAACGGGCACCCCGTCAATGGATTCGTTTCCGCCTTGTGCCCGTCATTGCATCCTGGGGGAACCATTGCAGCTTCTTCCCGAGGCGCTCGATCACATGGTGGGTGGGGCGACCGAGAGCTTCAACATGCTCCAAGCAGCTTGTGATGCAATTCGTCAGGCCAGCGTGGAGATGTCCATTTGTGCGGTCGAGGTTGCCAGTTCTGTTGCCCACTCAGTCGCTGAAGAGTTCGCGCGCGAGGATGTTAGGATGGGAGAGTCGACCACTACCGTTGTAGACTACCTGGGCGGGATGCAGATTGACGAAGTCGCGTCTGCACGAGTTCTGGGCATTGACGGTCATACTTCAGTTGATGTCGACATCTTTGCCGCTGCAGATTTCGACTCTTACGAGCTCCTCTTCAACGGCGGCGCCCTCTCTGTATTCTGAGGTCCTGGATGGCGACCCTGAGTAGTAGACGGTCCTTCATCCTCCTTCTCCTCCTCCTCCTCCTGATTCGTTTTGCATGCTTTCTGCGCAGGCTTACCACGACTGTGCATTTGCATATTTGAATGGCCTCCGGCCAGTGCCGCCGACCTGGGCACTGCGTGTGCTGGTGTTTGGCACGACAACGACGGCGGCGACGACGACGACGACGACGACCTCGGCGCCGACAGCAGACGACGAACGACTAACTAACGGGAGAGGGGAGACGGGAGGCGGGAGGCAGTAGGAGGCGGAGGAAGGAGAAGGGAGGAGGGAGGATGGGGAGGATGGGGAGGAGGCGGAGGATGAGGACAAGGAGGACGAGGAGGAGGAGGAGGAGGAAGAGGAAGATGGGGAGGCGGAGGAGGAGGAGGAGCAACAGGAAGTGCAGGATGAGCAGGAGCATGAAGGAGGATGATGAGAACGAGGATGAGGACGATGATGCTGACGAGGATGAGGACGATGATGATGATGATGATGATGCTGATGCTGATGCTGATGATGATGATGATGCTGATGATGATGCTGATGATTATGATGCTGCTGCTGACGCTGATGCTGATGCTGATGCTACTGATGATGATGGTGATGGTGATGCTACTGATGATGATGGTGATGGTGATGCTGATGATGATGATGATGATACTGATGATGATGATGATGCTGATGCTGATGCTGATGCTGCTGCTGATGATGATGCTGTACTGCATAGTGATGATGATGATTGATGAATGATGACATGGTGATGAGTGATAAGGTGATGAGGTGATCTCTAGATGATGATGATGATGAGATATGATATTTGTGATGATGAAAAGGATGATGATAGATGATGATGATGATGATATGATGATGGATGATGAGTGATGATGAAAAGGTGGATGTGTGATAGAGTGATCTCACACTGATGATCATGAGGGGAAATAGGCTGATGAGATGGGCCTGGAATGTACTGATGCCTGGGATGGGGCTGATGGACTGATGGGCTGATGGGACTGATGCTGCTGCGGCTGGTGCCGGGGCCAGAACCGGGGCCGGGGCTGGGGCCGGAGCTGGGCCTGTGCCGGGGCTCCCGCCGCTCCCTCGAGGGCCGCGCAGAGGCCTTGCCAGCGAAGCCCTCGCCTGCAGCTGCCGCCCACATGTCGTCCTCCGAGATCGCGCAAGGGCTCCATGTCGATGGGCAGGTCGGGCTTCTGGCGCACCGGGACCTTGCCGCCGATGTTTGCGGAATGCCCTGGGCGAGAAGTTGGCTCGTTGGCTCATGCGTTTCGGGTACCCGTTGGCCCCGAACGTGCGAAAACGTCATTGTGATTGGATCTCTCCGAGCTGCTGCTGGTGAGCTCCTCGGCCGTGGTCGCAGCGTCCTCGGTCAGGGGGCTGCTTGATCAGGTTCTTCGTGTAGTTTTCGCTGGCGATGAGCAATTTCGTGTGATTCATGGTCTCGGCGCCCAGCATGCACTTGGGGAGTGGCACGTGCTCTGCCTCCACGTTTGCTTCCACCGCGTTTTCTTCAGGCAGTAGCCAGATGCTTGGTGTTTGCACGCGCGACCGGTGGGAGGTCCGGGTGCTCAGCAATGCCCATGGTGCCCGTCTTGGAGTTGCCTTGCGCCAGTAGGATCGTGAAGCGGACCAGTACGTCGCCCACCTGCAGTTGGGCCCATTCCTAAATTCGGCGTCGGGCGACGGGTGAGGAGGAGGAGGAGGAGGAGGAGGAGGGATGCATCTGAGGAGGAGGAGGAGGAGAAAGAGGAGGAGGGATGCATCTGGGGAGGAGGAGGAGGAAGGGAAGGAGAGGGAGGAGGAGGAGAAGGTTAGAAGGTCTTCTCTGAAGTGGCGGGACTCCTCAGAGGCCGGCGGGGTCTTCCGAACCTTCTGGAAGGCCCGCCCCTCCCGCCTCCTCCTCCTCCTCCTCCTCCATCCTCCTTCACTACCTCCTCTCCCTCCTCCTCCTCCTCCTCTCCCTCCTCCTCCTTCGGCCCACGGCCGCCCCTTCTTCTTTCCCCCCCTCGCCCGCCGCCGATTAGTGCTGGCCTTCTTGAGTCCCCAGGGCGCGCTTGCGCTGCGAACTGGACGAGGCTGCTTGCGGACGCCTTCGAGTCTGTTGAGACGTACCGCGGGCCACGTCTTCCATGCTGGTCCAGCAAGTCCGGCCACCAGCTTGCCTTGGCACGCCGTTGTGCACCAGAGAGCTCGCCCCTCGCGGTTGCCAACGTCTCCTTTCTCGCCGTAGATGATGTCGACATTGAGCACGTAGATGTTGGCGCGGTCCCTTCCTAGTGTCCCTTCCAGGTAGAACTGGGTGTCGCCCACCTTCCTCCCGCCACTGAAGAAGTGGACGGCGTAGAAGCTTGGGTGACTGATCTCGTGTTGCGGCTGCAGTCCAGTTACTTGATGGTGGTCGTCAACCTGTGTGTTGTCTTGCTTTATCCTCGCTGGAAACGGGAGAACTTGCAAGTGCTTACTTGGTACCAGCCACTATTGCGGAATATCGGAGTCCTGTGGTTGCCAGTCGTCGTCAAGACTTTGCTCGACCGTGGGGTGCTTCACCGGGATCATAGCCATGTGCCTCTGATATCCCTGCATCTCAAGCTCAGCCGCCTCGTTATGTTTCTCCTGCTTGAAGGCGGCCATCTTCTCGTCCGTTCGGGGCTGCATCGTTTCCAAAAAGTGCTCTAGACAGCGGCTCTTAGCCCTGGGATGGTTTTTCAGCAGCATGATCGTGCCAAAATGCTGCAAGCGATGAGCGCATGTGGCCCATCTGCTACATCGTTCTGCCGCGTCGCATATTATGTGGTACTCGGCTGCGTGCATATGAGGTCCCTTGCCGTAGCGCATGTGGTCCTACATTCGTAGCATATGTATCAGTATCCGATGTATTGCGAGCTTGGGTGCAATCTCGCCGCTGTCCTCCTTTCTCTGATTGGCCAGCCTGAGCTGCTGCTTCAGGATCCTGATACCCTCCGCGATCTTTTTGATGAAGCTCTTCCTGCCATCCTCGTCCATGTACGGGCGTGCGTCCGCAAACTCTTTGTTGTACTCCTTGACCTGGAGGACTTCCGAGGTTGTAGCTGCGCGGACGTTCAGTAAGCTTGGCTTAGCCACAGCCATCTCTTCCCATGGTGTCATGTCCTTCTGCTGCTGGTCGTTGGACGTCGGCGAGCACCCGCCCTGTGTCTTCTTGTTATTGCCCTTGCTGTTGCCCTTGTCCTGCTGCGTGGGCTGTCACTGGCGTGCCTTCCAGTGCGTGCCACAGCTGGGGCAGCGTGCACGCTGCATCTAGGGCTCGACTCCGCAGCTGCATGTCCATGTTGTCATAGACGAGTGGTGCTCCGCCAGCAGCTGCGCGGCGCTGCTGACCCTGAGCAGGGCCCTTGCTGCGGCTCGTCGTCGTTGACGGCAGTGCCAGGCTGGCTCAGCCCGGCCAGCCGCGCCGCTGCTGCGGCGCCCGCCGGCAGCGGGGGGGGGCAGGGATGGGGCCTAGGCCTCCCCGCTGCGAAGGCCGCCGTCGCGGCCGCAGTGCCGCCGCTCGCGGCAGGGGGTGGAGGGGCGCAGGTGGCCCCCCTGGAGGAGGAGGAGGAGGAGGAGGAGGAGGAGGAGGAGGAGGAGGAGGGGGAGGAGATGGAGGAGGAGGGGGAGGGGGAGGAGGAGGGGGAGGAGGGGGAGGAGGAGGAGGAGGAGGAGGAGGAGGAGGGAGGAGGAGGAGGAGGAGGAGGATCCTCCTCATCCTCCTCCTCCTCCCTCCTCCTCCTCCTACCTCCTCTTCACTTTCCTCGTCCTCCCTGTGGCATCTGATCGCCCCCTGCCGCGAGTATCGCGCGGCCACGCGGCGCTCATAACCCCCGGCCTCCCGGGCGGCATCGGTCGATCGCACGATGCGCGACCGATGCAGGTCGACGATCGGCCCCGCCCGGCAGGTGCCAGTTGCAGGCAGGGAGCGTCCGCAAATGGCCTATCTTCTCCTCCGCCTCCTCCTCCTCCTCCGTCGGACCTCCTCCACTCCTCCTCTCCTCCTATCCTCCTTCTCCTCCTCCTTTCTCCGCATCCTACTCATGGACCGTCCCGACCGTCACCACATTCCTCATCCTAATCCTACACTGTGCCTTCTCCAAGTCGTTCCTGTCCCCCTCATGACGCTGATGCTGCGGCTCACAAGATCATGCTGAACTTAGTTAGCCCTCCTCCTCCTCTCCTCTCCTCCTCCTCCTCGTCCTCCCCCTCCTCCTCCCCCTCCTCCTCCTCCTCCTCCTCCTCCTCCTCCTCCTGCTCCTCCTCCTGCTCCTCCTGGTCTTCGTCGCGCACATGGGCTTGCTCCGCCAACCGAGTGGCGTCACCGAAGCGAGCGATAGCATGCGGCGTAGGCTGCCATGGATTCCACCAGGGCGCAGCAGGTGGGTGGCTGCGCAGCGCGTGGGCGGGGCGGCCGAAGCCGCGGCGTGCCGCCGGCGGGGGGGGGCCGTCGGGGCGGTGCCACGGTCGGGCCACGGGCCGGCCCGGGCCAGCGGAGCGATTGGACTGTACGGTCGAGACCGTTTTTTGGCCCACGAGGCTTCGGCGCAGCAGGCGGGCGCTGCGCAGCGAGCAATGATGAACCATGCGCACGCGCGCGTGCGCGCGCGCCGGGGACAGCTCTCGTGAAGGGCAGCGAGAGCGCTGCTTCTCTCTCCTCTGGCGGTGGTGTCTTCCTGCCGCCTCTCCCCGGATTGTCTTGCCTTCCCATTGCCCGCCCTTCTCGTGCCGGCAAGTGTCGTTCCCCCCCACCCACGCTCTTCCACAAACATAACACACACACACACACACACACACACACGCACATTTGGCGTCGCGGCCACTCGCGCAGCGGCGCGGCGTAGGACAGGTCGAGCGAGAGCGTGACGCGCGCGACACGCACACACGCAAACACACTTGTTTTTGTTGGTCGGCGGGTCGAGAGCGGGCCTCGTCCGGTTAAGAGCTAGGCGGGGCGCGCGAAGACACAAACACACACACACACACACACACACACACACACACACACACACGCACGCACGCACGCACGCACGCACGCACGCACGCACGCACGCACGCACGCACGCACGCACGCACGCACGCACGCACGGACGCACGGACGCACGCACGGACGCACGCACCCACGTACGCACGCACCCACGTACGCACGCACGCACGCACTCACGCACGCACGCACGCACGCACCCACACACACAGACACACAAACACACCGACACACCGACACACCGACACGCACACAGACACACACAGACACACAGACACACAGACACATTGACAAACAGACACACAGACACACAGACACACATACGCAAACACCTTGTCATTCAACGGCCGAGCCGTGTCACTGCAGCGAAGCTGAAGCGAGGCACGTTTCGCGTAAGCTCCACCTGGCGCTGCAGATGGGGGGACTGCGCTGGGCAAGTCGCCGTGCCAAAAAAGTTGTCGCCACCCCACACGGATCCAGGAGGACCCCGCGCTCGCGCTCGCGCTGCGGGAGCTCCTCGACCACTTCCACGCGCTCGTGCTGCAGCACGCGGCCGCGGTGCGCCCACGGGGGGGCTTCTCCATCTCCTCCTCCTCTTCCTCCTCATCATCCTCCGCTTTTCTCCCTCCTCCCTCCTCATCCTCCCCCTCATCCACCTCCTCCCTCCTCCTCCTCCTCGTCCTCCTCCTCCTCCTCCTCCTCCTCACTTCTCTTCCTCCTCCTCCTCCTCCTCATCCTCCTCATCCTCCTTCTCCTTCTCCTGCTCCTTCTCCTCCTCCTCCTCCTCCTCCTCCTTTTCGGGGGGCTTCCTGGGCGATGGGAGCTTGCATTCCAACACGCTCTCATAGCGTTCCGGAACGATCTGAGAAGGCCACGGCGTCCGAGACATTCCCCCGAGCCGCAGGATCTTAGCGATTCTCGATATACCCTCACCTCAGGGCGCGGGTCGGGGGGGCGCAGCAGGGTGGCCGCTCACGCGGCGCGCCGCGCCGCGCCGCGCGCGCCGCGTTGCCGCGTTGCCGCGGCCAGCCGGGCCGCGGGCGCCCCGAATAGCGCCTGCAGCCTGCGGAGCACGGCCCAGACAAGCTCAAAGGGTCCTCCCCCGTGGCGTCCTCCTCCGCTCTCCTCCTCCTCCTCCTCCTCTTCCTCCTCCTCCTCCTCTTTCGCTCTCCTTCTCCTCTTCTCTCCTCCCCCTCCTCCGCTCTCCTTCCCCTTTCTCCTCCCCCTCCTCCTCCTCCTCCTTTCTCCTCCCACGTATCCCTCCCCCTCCTCTTCCTCCTCCTTCTCCTCCTCATCATCATCACCATCATCCTCAGCATCATCATCGTTGTTATCATCAGCATCATCATCATCGTCACCATCATCATCATCAGCAGCAGCACCATCACCATCATCATCGTCATCATCAGCATCAGCATCATCATCATCAACATCAGCAACATTATCGTCATCAGCAGCATTAGCACCGTCCACATCATCGTCAGCATCACCACCACCACCATCACCACCATCCTCCTCATCATCATCATCATCAGCAGCATCGTCAGCATCGCCAGCATCGTCAGCATCGTCATCGACAGCATCAACATCATCATCATCACCAGCATCATCAGCACCATCATCACCATCAGCATCAGCATCAGCAGCATTGTCAGCAGCATCATCATCGTCATTATCATCAAATCCGTCGTCGGCATCATCACCACCACCACCATCCTTCTCCGTTTCCTCCATCCTCATCCTCCTCTTCCCGGCTCCTCCCTCCTTCCTACCTGTTCTTCCCAGTATCTTCCTTCCCCTCCTTTTCCTCCGCTGGCGCCAGACCGCATGAAGGCCTGGAGTGTTCATGCTTCATAGTAAGAGGAGAAAGAGAGGTAGAGAGAGAGAAAGAGAGAGAGACCAAAGACACAAACAGCAACAATGCGTGTTCGATGATCGTCCTGATGAATCCTTAGTACAGCTTTTGGGGTCTCTTGGGGGCCTCGTGGGGACCTCTTGGGGGCTATTGGGGCCTCCTGAGTGCCTCTTGGGGACATCTAGGAGGAGATTGGGGTCAATTATTGCCCCACCCTAGGGACGTCAAACTGAACCCAAAACCTTTGTAATGCTGCCTTATAGTCGACGGTCCAAACTCTCGCGGACCCCCTTGTCCAGGTCCAGGGGGAGGTGTTCGGGGGAGGGATGAGTTCCTTCCCGAATGGGAAGAAGAGGGGTTGGAAGAGGAAACGATCTAAACCACTCGCGCCCTAGGGGGCTGGTGGGACTCAGACTTCTTACGGAGAAAACATTGCTAAGGAACTCGTACCAAGGAACCTTTCCCAACGAGTCGGTATCAAGGAATCTCAGTTGCGGAAACATTACGAAGGCAATCCTTAGCGACGCATCCTTGCTATGCAACCTTGACTGAAGAAACCTGCTTAAAGAGCCATTAATGCAGAGCCTTCCTAAGACATTCTTGGCACGAGGTGCAGTAGTAAGGACGCCTTCCTGGATAGCCCTTAACAAACGAGTCCTCTCTGTAGAACCAGTGTCCAGGAACCCTTTAGGAAAGGACCCCTGTTATAGGGAGTCAATATTGGAGAACCTTGCAGCACAAAAGGACTCGTACCAAATAAGTACATAAGGAACCCGTATTGAGAGATCCTTCCTAGGGAACCCCTACTAATTGAGCGCAGGGCCCCGAAGGAGTGCCGCGCGAACGGGCTCGGGCAATCAGGCACTTTAGAACACAAACTTGTGCGGTCAGGTCCGAGGGCCAGCAACGAACGTAAAAACATGGTGTGGTTCCGCTGTGTGATGTGTTTGCGTATCTATCTACCTGAACGCGCATACTTACACCAACACTTGAAATAACACATGAACCATGGTTTGTTCCAGTGGTTGCTGGCCCTAAGAAACATGTAGTTTACAATGGTTGCTGGCCCTTTGGCGTGACGCGAGGCGCCACTTGCAAGAGAGATCAGGAGCCCGAAGAAGGAATCCTTACTGACAAGTCCTGAATACAGAGGCTTCCGAAGGTATTCGTTCGGAATGGGGAATCCTCAGTCAGGAATCCGTCCTTGATAATCATGAACAAAAGAGTCCTTACGGTAGAACCCGTAACGAAGAATCCCTTACAAAAGGACGCCTCAAGAATGAGCAATTTCTGAAGAGTTCGTCGGAAGGGATCTTGATCGAAGAAACTCTTAGTACAGGGTCGTCCCTAAGGAGCCGCGGT